AACTCGTGCTGCAGTGGCTACAGACAGCTTTATAGTACTGAGACTTACCCCCTGCGTCACCAAGGAGGCCCCCTACTTTATGCTTCTTAGCTGATATAGTCAGTCCTCATTATTCTCAAATTTTGTGTTTGTGCATTCACTTACTGGCTAAAATTTATTTGTAATCCCAAAATCAAGATTTGTGGCACTTTTGCAGTCATTCTGACAATCACATTGCAAAAAGTTGAGTCCTCCTGCTAATGGAGAACAAGGTGACATTTGCCTTTTTTCCTGAGCATACTGTAAACAAATGCCTTTCCCATGTTCCTCTAGTGCTGAATTTTTCTAATTTTCATGCTTTTTGGTGATTTTACCGTCCAAAATGGCCCCCAACCATGGAGCTGAAGTACTTATTTCACATCCCTGATCACAGGAAGGCTCTGATCTCCCTTATGGAGAAAGTATGTACAGTTGGCCCTTGAGCAGTGTTGGGGTTTAGAACACTGACCCCAGCAGTTGAAAATCCAAATATGACTTTTGACTCCTCCAGACTTAACTTCTCATTGCCTGCAGTTACCTGAAAGCCTTGCCAAGATCATAGATTGTGGATGAACATGTGCTTTGTATGTTATCTGTGTCACACACTGTAGTCAAACTATCAATTAAGCCAGAGAAAAGAAAATATCAAGGACTTAGGGTGTCAGCAGGGTTTTCACTACAGCAATTTAAATATATGTTGTTCAAGGGTCAGTTGTGTTAGATAAGCTTCATGCAGGTATCAGTTATAGTTCTTTTGACCTTGGTTCAGTGTTAAGGAATCAGCACTACAGATTAAATGACTTTAATAAGCAACCCCTATAAAACAAGGTTACATATTGATCTCTTGACAAAAAGAGGCTCAGAGCCTCACAGGACCCTAACTGTATTTTCTCTAGGGCAAAGATTTAGTGTTTGTGGCAACTTTATAGAATTTACCCATCATGTATAACAAGAATAAGAATAATAACATGCTGACAATATGCTGTTCTGAGAACTTTGTTTACCTGTAGTCCACCTATCTGTGAAGAAGGAGCTATTATCCCCATTTAACAGATGGATAACTGAGATCCAGAAAGCTGAAGTGACTTGCCCAAGGTCCCACAGTCAGAAAATTGCAGAGCTTCAAACTCAGCCTTGAGAAGGGAGAGAGGAGGCCAGCAGGGCTAACAGGGAGCAGGATTATTAATGCTTGGTGACTCAAGGGTAATAGGATGTATTGGAAGGGCAGAGAAGGGGACATGCTGCACCCCCTCCTCCTTTCCTGCCCTATTCTGTGGAGCCATGGGGACCTAGGATGGAAACTTTCAGAGGATCCTGGTACAACTAGGACCTCCCCTTGCCACTAGGTCCCCTGCCCATGGAAGCCATTGAGAAGATGGCCAGCCTGTGCATGAGAGACCCAGATGAGGAGGAGGGAACAGATGAGGAGGATGTGGAAGCAGATGATGACCTGCTGGTGAGTGCCCAGGATGGTGTGCAGGGCCTTCCTTGCTGTTGCTGTTCTCCCCTCACCCTGGCCATGTGTCCCTGCAGGCAGAGCTAAATGAGGTCCTTGGGGAGGAGCAGAAGACTTTGGAGTCCCAGCCTCCTGCGGCCCAGGTATAGCTCTGATTGGGGAGGCCCTCCCTTCCCCTTAGCCATGCTACCTCATGGGGGTGATGGGAAGCATCTGAACCTGGGTTTTCTGCACCAGGAAACTAAGGTGATGATTTTTACCCCCCCGCCTCCCGCCAGGAGGGTGCCTAGCCCAGGGGTGATATGCCCAGGGTTCAGTAGGCCCTTGAGGAAACCCAAGTGGGATCACTACCCAGAGCTTCTGCCTGCCTCCTCCTGTAGCCTAAGGCTGCAGCCACAAGCCCACGGGTGGAGGCTACCTTGCAGGAAAGGCTGATCCTCTACCAGACAGCCATTGAGAGTGCTAGACAAGCTGGGGACGGAGCCAAGATTCGGCGCTATGATAGGGGGCTGAAGGTGAGTGGGTACTTGGGAAGGTGCCGGGTCCCACCACTGCCCCCTTCCCACCTCCACCCTAGCCCAGCTTCTCCCAAACTCATGTTCACACCTTCTCCCAGACACTGGAAAACTTGCTGGCTTCTGTCCGGAAGGGCAACACCATCGATGAAGGGGATATTCCACCACCTGTGGCTGTAGGGAAGGGCCCAGTAGTGACACCCAGCCACACTCCCATACCCACCCAACTGGCCCCTGCAAACCCACCGACTCCCGAGTCCAGGGTCTCTGTGGAAGGCCCTCTACCCCCTGCTCCCGCCTCATCTCTGGGCTCCACTAAGCCCCCAGGTAAGTCTGGGCAGTGCTGGGTGGGGGAATTCAGCAGTGGGCCCCTCTGTGGGAGTTTATGTATCTTATATATTTCAATACCGAATCTGTTTCCCAGGACGTAAGGCCCCCAAGAGTTCATTGATACCTTCTAGGGGAATATGAGCACACAGAGAGCTTTTTTGTGTGTGTAATAGTAAAATATATTTAACATAATCTTTGTTGTTTTAACCATTTTTCATCATGCAGCACATAACACATCCACAATGTTGTGCAACCATCACCTCTAGGTCCGGAACTTTTGCATTGTCCCAAGCAGAAACTTTCTCCCCATTTAAACGCTGTCTTTCCCCCACTGTCCTACTTTCTATCTCTGTGAATTTGCCTCCTGAACACTTCACATGATAGACTCCTGTAGCCCTTGGGTGCTGGTTTCTTTCATGGAGTGTGACAGTGCTGCATGAGTCAGAACATCATGCCTTTGTAAGCCTGATATTCCTACCAAAGCGAGTAATTCCCAGTCCCTCCTTGTCTGTCTTTCCCCTGAAACTCACCTGTTGGGGAACAAACTTCCTTAGAGATCTTCCTTGCCAACCTCCCCCTTTCCTGTTCCCTCCCCCTATTTTGGGGAAAGGAATATCTACCTTCCTCCATTGTAGAATATGAATATGGGACTCCCCAGGTGGGAACCAAAGAAACAACTTAAAATACTGGTTAGAGTTGAAAAGGTGACCACTGGCTTACCAAACCCTCCTGCAGCCAGGCTGTATCTAATGATTTAGAGACGATTGGAAATCATCACCTTAAATTCTCAGCCAGAATTTCCAGAAATTGTTCATATGGAATTTTGAAATATGTGAGGACAGTGGCTTAAGGAATCATGTGCCAGTGCAGTAATGGGAAGCTGTCTCTTCCCATCCACACGTTGGTATGAAGGAGATTTTTCTATACTGTAAAAAGGAAAGTAGGAGAATGAATGTAAAAGCAAGAAGTAATTGTTGGAGGGTGAACACAGCCCTGATGACATTGGCAAGAAGTGCCATGCAAATTAAATTTGACTAGTGATAAATAAAAAGCACCTATCAAAAAGCTGGATGTACTGTGGCTCTACTCAACTACATCTAAATGTTATTGTATCAGTAACAGCCTGGAAGAATTTTTTTTTTTGAGATTTATTTATGCATACAGAACTGGGGTGCAGGCCAGAAGTACAGGGGTGGTGAGCAGAGGGGAGAGACAGAGACACCCACCAGAGACAGAGTAGAGAGCAGAACAGGCAGATTGACAAAGCACACTGCTGAGGGGGGCAGCGGAAGGGTCAGGAGAGGTCTGCCACGCCATGTGGGTCAGCTCCAGGGTGGTACCCAACTGGTACCCAAGTGGTTGCGGCTCACTTGCATGCTGCGCTTTAACCTGTTGTGCCACCAGGGAGGGCCCGGAAGAACTTTAAAAAAAAAACAAACAGAAAGATGGCACACGGGTGATTTGGTGATGGGAAGCCCACGGGGATTACAACTCAGATGGAAAAATGCACAGAATGATGTAAAAATAAACTACTGTATATTATATTATATCATATTATACACACACACACACACACACACACACACACATATAAAGTACCTCAAGCAAAACAAAACGCTGAGAGATTTGGAGTGATGGGGACTAAAACCGACCCAATGGCAAGGGGTTTCACTTCACCTCAGACACATTTTCAGACAAGAACATCTCAACTCGAGAATAAGCTTAAGCTCTTGTGAGTCTGCAGAAGCACAACATGTGTGATATTCCAGGTATTTCTAGGCTTTGTGGTGTAATTGTTGGATTTTGTTTTAGTCATGCCAACAGTTGCACCCATTGCTCCCAATTTAGAGATACTTTCCATGAAAACTTGGAACATACTATTTGAAAAAGTAAAAGCTATAATTAATATACCATTTAAAAAGCAAACCCTCCACCGCCCAGCTTTGCTGATACTGCGCGGTTGTGTCTTGGCTGCACAAACATGCAGTAAGGGTGTATCTCTGGGAGATGCTGTCAGATACCCACATTATCATGCTAGGGTAAAATTTTGTAGGGCACATGGGTGTAAGTAAAAGATGTGTAATTCCTGGGAGATGTTTTTAAAATAAATCTTAGTACATATTAAAATGAATTGCCAACTTTTTAATTAAAAAAAAAAAAAAATGAATTGCCTGCAGGGACAGGAGAGATTTGTAAACTCCCATGTCTGTGGGAGGCTAAACAAAGGCAAAAAATGTAATTCTATGGACATGAAATTCCTACAGGAGACAAACCCACAGCGACAGAAAGTAGTTGGTGGGTGTCAGGCTAGGGCATGGGGAGTGATCCTTGAATGGGGATGGAGTTTTAGTTGAGAAAGATAAAGTTCTGGAGACAGCTGGTGGTGTTGGTCACAAAACAATAAATGCCACAGAACTGCACACATAAACATGGTTAAGGTGGTGAATTTATGTATATCTTGCTACAATTAAAAACTATATATATATATATATATATATAGGATATTGGTTAAATTCATCAGATTTGAAAGAGTGGCATGACAATTTTCTTTTGAATGGCAGCGTTCTCAAGACACGGTGAAAATCTTGGCCACTTTTTTTTTCTTTAAGATTTATTTATTTGTGTATACAGAGCTGGGGTACAGGCCAGAGGTGCAGGGGCAGTGAGAGGATTTACCAGAGACAGAGTGGGGAGCAGAACAGGCTGACTGACAAGTACACTGCTGAGGGGAGCAGCGGGCGGGCCAGGTGTGGTCACCTCCGGGGTGGGGACTGAATTCATGTTGAAGTGGCTTTAGCTTCTTAGTGCTATGCTTTAATCTGCTACACCAACAGGGAGGGCCCCTTGACCACTTTTTAAACTTAATGATGAAAAATTTTACATGTCAACTTAATGTGTAAGGGTACATAGGTTTTCCCAAATTCTCTTGGGGGCAAAATGGCAGCCACTCTGGAGCCTAACAGGTCTGGAGCTGAGTCCCCACCCTGACATTTTCAGGCTTTGTGATATCGGGGAGGCAGCTCCCCTCTCTAAGCCTCTTTAATACTCATATCTATAAAATAAGTTGTTAAATTGAAATGGTTTGCCTGCTGTCTCCCCTCCAGGTCCCTGCAGCCCTGGCCCCCTAGCCCAGCTGCAGAGCCGCCAGCGCGAGTACAAGCTGGCTGCCCTCCACGCCAAGCAGCAGGGAGACACCTCCACCGCTGCCAGACACTTCCGTGTGGCCAAGGTACATCCAGGAATCCGGTGGACAGGACAGGAGGGAGAGGACAGGATGCTTCCAGCATTGTATAGTGGCAAAGAACAGGGTCCGTGGAGTCTGACAGACCCCAATTTGAGTCTTAGCTCTTGGCCACTTAAAATCTATGGTTTATTGCACCTCTTGATACTCAGTTTACCTCCTCTCTGAAATGGGCATAAGTTTCAGAAGAGGCTTGAAGGAGATAAGGCCAAAGAACAGGTAGAGCTGGGAATCTTCTGCCTCATGGCAGGGCTTGGAGGCTTCCCAGAGGATTCTGGACCCAGCTGCAGCCTCCTCATCTGACTTCCTCCTGCTTTTCCCAGAGCTTTGATGCTATCTTGGAGGCCCTGAACAGGGGGGAATCTGTGGACCTGTCTCGCCTGCCCCCTCCACCTGGTAAGAACTCTGCTCAGGGATGCCCTCAGGCTAGATCTGTGTGGTTGGGGGAGGGGAAGCAAGCCCTTCATGGGCCAGGACCTCTCTGCCCCCAGACCAGCTGCCTCCAGATCCACCATCATTGCCACCACAGCCTGCAGCTCCCACCATGGTATCCTCTACACCAGGTTGGTTTTTGGTACCCCTTGGGGAGGAGAGCCCAGACTCCCTTTCCTCAAGCCTTTTCACCCTGTCCTCTCCTGATCTGGCCCAGAGGTTCCTACACCCCCGAAGACTCTCCTGGAGGCTCTGGAGCAGCGGATGGAGCGGTACCATGTGGCCGCAGCTCAAGCTAAGACCAAAGGAGACCAACGGAAGGCTCGTATGCATGAACGCATTGTCAAGGTGTGTGGGGACCAAGTGGATGGGTGGCCATCCCCTGGAGACCTGGTCCAGATGGCCTTAACACCTGTGTCCCCTGCAGCAATACCAAGATGCCATCCGAGCACACAAGGCTGGCCGAGCCGTAGATGTGGCTGAGCTGCCTGTGCCCCCAGGTAGGCCCTGCCCCAGCCCCAGCCCTCCAGCCTTTGCAGGCGCTGTTCCTTCCAACTTTCTAGGCTCGGGGAGGTGGTAACTACATATGTGAGAATTCTGTGAGCTCCTTCAACAGTCGGTAGTCTGAAAATGGGAATGTTTATACCACAGAGATTGTTACGACACTGAAAATCAGGGAGGTTTATTTGGAGAGCCTGTTCACTAGCCTACCACTGTCTGTTCTCTCTCTCTTCTCTGTTCCACTCACTTTTTCTGGTCATCAATTCTTAGCTTTGTAGGCACCAGCTGAGTCTCCCTTCATTCTCCCAGAAGAATGGAAGCCTCTGGAGGTTATTAGATGGTGTTCCCCCGAGAACAATTATCTCTATGCATCTCAGTCCCCCCAGGAACCTGACCAGGTCCAGGACTAGCCCCAAAGCCCTAGAGCCCATCACTCCACATCACACAGGCGACACATTAGTACCTGCTTACTGAAGTCTGGTCAAAGCCCATGGCCTGGGAAGGAACCGGGATACATACAGGAGGTTGCAGTGGCCTGGTATCTACATGGGACCAGTAGCAGCTCCTTCCTTAGATTCCAAGAAAAAACAAAGGCCAAGGCTCCTGAGGAGGGGGAGGAACCCACACCTTTACCATCATGGCATGAGCCTTTCCCTCCTAATCAGGCCCCAACTGGCTTCCCAGGCTTTCCCCCCATCCAGGGCCTTGAGGCCACCGAGCCCACACAGCCCAGCCTGGTGGGTGTCCTAGAGACTGCCATGAAGCTGGCCAACCAGGATGAAGGCCTCGAGGATGAAGAGGACGAGGAGCCTAAGAAGGTGTGAAGGGCCTGGGCATGAGATGGGACTGCCAGTAAAGCTGAGCCCCAGTCATCCCATCCCTGAGCTGGAACAAGCTGTCCTCACAACCTGGCCCTGGCTGTTTGGCCATGGGCAAGTCATTTTGTTCTCTGAGCCTGTCCCCCCATCTGAAAGTAGGCATAGTAATAGGAATAGTCCTACCTCTCAGGGCTGCAGAAATTCGATGAGAATGGAATTATTTTCAGTGTGGAGGAGACAGAAACTAACAAGATCATCACCATCACTGTTGGGTGTTGGGCCCTGACCCTTTGTGGAGTGGACACCTCTCTGGTGCTGGGAAAGCTCAGACTTTTCTCTACCCTTCAGCAGCTCAGTAGCCCTCCAGCCCCCATGACTCAGCCCAAAGCCCCACCCTCAAGGACAACCCAGTCAGGATCTGCCCCTGCAGCCAAAGCAGCTCCTAAAGGTACATCCACCAGAGGTAGGTGCCCCTCCCCACCCCAGCTGCCTGTTGCCTGGCTATGGGTTGGGCAGCACCTGCAGGTGCCTGTGTGTGTCCACAGCCCAGCAGCAACTAACCTTCCTGGAGGGCCGCAAGAAGCAGCTCCTGCAGGCCGCCCTACGAGCCAAACAGAAGAATGATGTGGAGGGTGCCAAGATGCACCTGCGCCAGGCTAAGGGCCTAGAGCCCATGCTGGAGGCTTCACGCAATGGGCTGCCTGTGGATATCACGAAGGTGAAACCCTGAGACCTGCTGGAACTTCCTAGCTGCGCATCTATCAGGCTGCAGCCATTTAGGGGCCATGTGAGCTTGGAATATATTAGGATCTGGGTTAAACGGCTATAATAAGTAGCCACCCCACCCCCGCTGCCAAAACCACAGTTAAAACAAGACACATTATGTTTTTTATGTATAAAAGGAAGTCCAGGGCCCAAATTCCTATTATTTGTTGCCTTGCTGCACTTAGTGGGTTGTCCTCAAGCCCATGGTCTAAGTGGGTCATGGTTCTGTCACCCTGCCCACGGGAAGGGTGAGAAAGTGGAAGGGCAGGACAAGAGATTTCCTTTAAAGTAAGTCACATTGGCTAGAACTGAGATACATGGTTACAGTAGCTGCAAGGGATGTTGGAACATGTAGTTTCCAGCTGATTGACTATACATGGGCAGAACTCCATTTAAGGAAGAGGGATTGGAAATCAGGAGAGGGGGAAATAGTTAACAAATTCTGCCCCTTGGGGCAGGACCGTCCACTTCTCTCCGAACTTCTTGGAGAAGGAAAAGCAGCAGCAGGGATCGGCGGAGGTCTGGGAAGCCCTCTCCAAGGAGAGGAAATCTTCCCGCAGAGCCCTGGATAGGCCTGCTCATGGCTGCCCAGCGGGCCCCTTCCCATGAGCTTCATCTTCCTCAGGTGCCACCAGCCCCAGTCAACAAGGATGATTTCGCCCTGGTCCAACGACCCGGCCCAGGTCTGTCTCAGGAGTCCGCCCGGCGCTATGGTGAACTCACCAAAATGATTAGGCAGCAGCATGAGGTGAGGAGGGTTCCCAGCCCAGCTCACAAGACCACCCCTTCTCTCATGGGCCCTCCATCCTCTATTCACTGTCTTCTGTTCCCCAGATGTGCCTGAACCACTCTAACCAGTTTACCCATCTGGGTAACATTGCTGAAACCAGCAAGTAAGTTCCCCTAGCCCACTCCTACTAGACACTTGCACCCATAGCTGGCCCTAGCTTCAGGGACCTTAGCAAAGCCCTCTCACTGGCAGATTTGAGAAGCTGGCAGAAGACTGTAAGCGGAGCATGGAGATTCTGAAGCAGGCCTTTGCCCGGGGCCTCCCCATACCCAATGCCCGCTTCGAGCAGCGGACCATCAGTGTCATCAAGTAAGGCCCCAATGCCTCCTGGCCCAGATGCCCTTTGAGGCAGCGTACTTGCTTCTGGAGAAGAATAGGTGGTGGCAGCAAAGTGCATGTAAAGGTCTGAGACAGGCATGAGAAGCTAGGGATAGGGTGAGCGGATGTTGAAAGTGACACATTTGGAAATGGAGATGACCTAGTGAGAACAGAGAGCAGGGAGGTTGTCCCATCCCCACGGAGAGAAAAGAAGATCACAGGCAGTGAGGCTGAGGTGTCTTTGTCTCCCCATGTGCCATCCTGGAAGGATCTTCCCTGACCTCAGCAGCAATGACATGCTCCTGTTCATCGTGAAGGGCATCAACCTGCCCACACCCCAAGGTGAGGGGATCACAGGCAGGGCTCAGGGCCGTGGGTCTACCTCTCTGCCCAGCTCTGACCCTTGTTTGTCCACAGGGATATCCCCCGGTGACCTGGATGTCTTTGTTCGGTTCGACTTCCCCTACCCCAATGTGGTATGTGGGGCCCTAGGGAGGGTGGGAGGGAGGGAGCCAGCTGGGCAGGGATTCAAGGCCCCTGCATTTTCCTGCTTTCTTTTCTTTGCAGGAAGAAGCTCAGAAAGACAAGACCAGTGTGATCAAAAACACAGATTCCCCTGGTAAACCTTGATGGGAGGAACCCCCACCCCACGCAGTAAGAATATGATACCAGAACCCGACCCCAGCCAATATCCTCTCCCCACTCCTTTTCTGGCAGAGTTCAAGGAGCAGTTCAAACTGTGCATTAACCGCAGCCACCGGGGCTTCCGGAGGGCCATCCAGAGCAAAGGCATCAAGTTTGAAGTAGTCCACAAGGGGTGAGCTGTGACTGTAGGTGCTGCGTGGGCTCTGGGGGATGGGAGCAATCCTGGACCAAGCATCCCATCCCCCTCATACATACAGGGGACTGTTTAAAACTGACCGGGTTCTGGGCACAGCCCAGCTGAAGCTGGATGCCTTGGAAACAGCGTGTGAAGTCCGGGAGATCCTTGAGGTGAGAGCTGAACAATCACCCAAATGCTCGGTGTGACTTTTACTCAAAATTTCCTTGCATCAAACCTCCTAGGGGTATCCTCTGTTGACTCAGCCCCAGCCCTGGGAATCTAGGCTTTCTGACTCGATCGAGCTCAGATACTCCTAGCACCTGCTCCGGTTGGTGTCTCTGCATTCCCCTGGGCTCATATTTTGGAAATTGCTCTGGTTCTCCCTGATCCCAGCCCTGTATCTCCAGCTCCTGCCTGCTGCCCACACTCTCTCCTCACTCCTACCCAGGTCTTAGATGGTCGCAGGCCCACAGGGGGGCGGCTGGAGGTGATGGTTCGTATTCGGGAGCCACTGACGGCCCAACAGTTGGAGACAACAACTGAGAGGTGGTTGGTCATTGACCCTGTACCAGCAGCTGTGTCCACAGTGAGACTCCTTCGCCATCAGCAGCCCGGGGAGGGAGGCTTGGTTCCAGGAGGCCAGGACTCACAAGACTGGTTCTGTTCTCTGAAGCAGGTTTCTGGGACCAAAGGGAAGGCCCTTCCTGCGCCTGTCCCTTCGAGGGATCCAGGAAACAGGTAGGTGACTGGGCTGAGCCATGCTGGAGGGAAAGTCCCTGTTCCCATTTTATCCCCTCCTGGACAGTGTCCCATCACTTATAAATTGAACTCCTGCCTTTCTTCTGCTTTAAGACCTTTCCTGTCTGAAAGATCCAGTGTAAACTCCTCAGCTTGATCTTTAAGACCTTTGCCATCTGATCATTGTCAATATATCCAACTTTCTGTCTCCACTCTCCTGTTGGTTCATGGCTACGTTAGTTTTCACTAGTTTCTAGGCTTCTCTGTGTTCCAATGCCTTGAGCACTCTTACCCCAAAACTTTGCATGCCTGCTCCTCTGTCTAGTTCTAACTCCTTTGGGTGTCAACCTGGCTATTACCTCTTCCAAGAAGCCCCTCCTGACCTCCTGTCATCACAGTATCCTAGGTGTATGACCACTGTCCCTACTAGGTTGTTCCTCAGTGTTCAGCATGTCTGTTGAATTAACAGGGTAAGAGCTGGGTAAATCCAGCTAGTTTCTAGCACCTTTCCCTCTCCCACCCCTTAGGTCAGCCCGACCCCTGCATAGCCTGAGTGTGTTGGCCTTTGACCAAGAACGCCTGGAACGGAAAGTAGGTATCTGTCCTGTTGGGCTGGGGGGGGAGGGTTGGGGGGTCTGCAGACCCAGGGGGGGCCCCTCACAGCACACTCTGTACACCCAGATCCTGGCCCTCAGGCAGGCACGGCGGCCAGTGCCCCAGGAGGTGGCCCAGCAGTACCAGGACATCGTGCAGCGCAGCCAGTGGCAGAGGGCACAGCTGGAGCAGGGGGGCCCTGGCATCCGGCGGGGTAGGGACTCAAGCACCGGCATGTGGGGGAAGGGCCAGGGCAGCAGAGTCCATCTTAACCCGCCTCCCCCACCCCCAGAGTACATGGCGCAGCTGGAACGCCAGCTGCAGTTCTACACAGAGGCTGCCCGGCGCCTGGGCAACGATGGCAGCAGGGTGAGCTGGATGGAGGACTGGGTGGGCACCGAGAACCCGGGGCTGTCGAGGGTTACCCAGTGACTCCCCATTGGTCCTCCAGGAGGCTGCAAAGGAAGCACTGTACAGGCGGAACCTGGTTGAGAGTGAGGTGAGCTCTGGGTGTCAGTGGGGAAGGGAAAGGCAGGGCTGGAACCCTGAGCCCCCTGACATCATGGCCCCTCCCACAGCTGCAACGGTTCCGAAGGTGAGAGACCAATGGGCGGGCAGCCCTCAGAAGGCAGGGAGCTGGCCCAAGGCCCTGACGATGGGAGGAGCCAACAGGCCACAGACCAGACAAGCAGACAATCAGTGGACATCGGCTCCGGATGGCTACGTACCCCACCGGGCCAACCCAGCCCAGCCAGAACCTCCCTGACAGGAGGTATCAGGACTGTGCCCGCCGACCAGAGTGTGCCCTCACCTGGACCGTTTGCACAGCCCAAGGGGATCTGGCCCCTGGCCTGCCCTCGTGGTGGGAGGGCAGCTAGGACCAAGCCCCATGGACCCCTGCAAGCACTTTACTTCCTGTCCCTCCCCAGCCTTAACCCTGAGGCCTTCCCACACCCCAAAGAAGCAGTTGAGGCCAGCCAGAGCCCAGCTTGGTTCTCCAGAGGACTGCCCTGGCCCAGCTGGGTCCCAGGGGCTGACACAGAGAATAAACAACCAGGGCCACACCCAGCTCACTCTATCCTGTCTTTGTTTCTAGCTGGGTCTCCCCCACTTCCCCTCATCCCCCCTTGGGGGTAGATGGAGAATTTTCCGTAAGTGAGGCCAACTGAGGAGAGGGGTGTGCTTGACTTAAACACCACAGGGATGCATGCGGGTCAAGGGCCCATGCACTGGCCACAGGGCCTGTGGCCTCCCTAGACCATCTCCCTGAATGTCTTTCTTCAGCCAGTGGTCTTGGGCTTCTCTGGGTTTGCATATGGTGGTGTATGGTTCAAAATCTAGCCCTGTCAATCACTGGCCACAGGATCTGGACCTCACTGTGTGGTCCACTTAGCATCCCAAGCCTCAGGGATAATGAAAGCCCCGCCTACAGCTGACGGGCACTCGTCCATGATGAGCGCTTAAAAGGGTGGATTTCTTTATTACTGCTTTTGATGCGTTTGGGGAATAGGGCCTGCCCAATGAGGCTGGCATGGTCTGTGCAGCTGGGTGTGGGCCACACACTTTAGCCCCTCCTCAGACTCCCTGTGTGCCTTGCCCCAGCTTCCCAGTCAGCGCAGGTTGGGAGACCCAGCCCTTGAGACCTGAGAGCCAGGTCCAGACCCCAGGTGGGCGCGCTTTCCTACACTGTGGCCCAGAGGAGCCTCAGACGTCTGTGCTGCTGCTGGTCCCTTCAGGCTCAGGAGCCTCCTCGTGGCCTACGTAGGCCTGTGTGTGGCAGCCGGACCAGGACCTGTTCAGGGTTACCCGTTGTGTCCACCACATGCAGGTGCAGGAGGCCCAGGAAGGCTTCGGGTGCGATGCTGGACATGTGAAGTCTGTTGGCGCTGGACCAAGAGGCGGGTATAAGGGTGGATAAAGAGGGTCCTCCCCTTGCCCTTCTCCACCCACCAGCCCAGCTGCCCTCGGGGCACCTGAGGAAGAGCAAGCGCAGGTGGGGTGTGCTGAGAAAGGCTTCAGGGCCCACGTGGCTGATGCGATTGCCCTGCAGGTGCAGCTCCTCCAGGGCCACAGGCAGGTCGGGGGGCACGAATGACAGCTCGTTGTGGCTGAGGTCCAGCACCTGAGTAGATGGGCAAAGAGAGTGGTGGCAGCCCCAGGTCCTGCCCACCCGCCCAGCCAAACTGCCCTTGTTGAGACAGATCCTCGTGTCCACTATCCACAGCCTCTTCCATGGCTGCTAAATCTCTCCTTTCTATTGAGGTCAAATGAACCCCTTCCAGGATAGCCCCATCCTGGGCTCTGGGGTACAGACAGAAGGAATCACGGTTTCAGTCATTCACTGAGGAAGAAAACATCGCCTCCAAGTTCTCGTGCCCATCTCACACCGCCATTTACTCATGTCACTTTGCCTCTAGCTGGGATGCTGTACCAAGGGCCGAGAGCTGTGTTGCCCTGTGACCAGCATCTCCAGTGCTGGGAACCACACCTGGCACCTACGGGTGCTCTAGGGCTGTGCAGATTGGAAGGGCTCAGGAACTAGAACGGTGGAGTTCACTGCGGAGTGAAGGGGTGGTCAGGAGGACCAAGTGGCGGGGGTCACGCAGCAAAAATCTAGAAGCGGATCTGTACACACCCCAGGGCTGACCCACAGTGTATCTCTTTGTGATACGCCAGGGTTTGTAGAGGAAGATCTAGGCAGACTGAGGAAGGGGGGACCACCTGGGCGGAGTGTGACTGACTAGCCTTCCTCTGACCTGGAGGCCCTGTAGCTCGTGCCAAGTGCCTGGTTCGATGGTCCCCACCCGGAGCTGGTTATGCGCCAGAATGAGCTCCCGCAACTGCTCCAGACCAGCCAGCAGCTCGGGCTCCAGGGCCCGGAGCTGATTGTGCTGCATTCGAAGAGTATGCAGGCTGGCAGGCAGGCCGCTGGGCAACCGGGTCAGCTGGTTGCCGGTCAGGTCGAGGCTGCGCAGGGCGCGCAGTGGACGGAAGGCCCGGCGGTGCACACGGGAGCTGGCCAGCTGGTTGTAGGCCAGGTTGAGCTCCTCCAGGCTCCGCATGGCAGCCAGGTCCCTGGCCCCCAGGGCAGCCACCTGATTGTGGGGCAGCACCAGCACCTGCAGGCGGCGGGGCAGCCCCTGAGGCACTCTGTCCAGACCATTGCCGTAGAGATGCAGCGTGTGCAGTCCCCGCAGTGGCCGCAGCGCCCCAGCGGGCAGCCCCCCAGCAGGCAGCCCCGCCGTCCCCAGCCGGTTGTGCTGCAGCAGAAGATAGCGCAGGCCCAGGACCCCACGCAGCTGGGCTGCCGTCACTCTCTGGATGTGGTTACGGCCCAGGTGCAGCACTGCCAGGGTGCGAGGCAGCCCAGTGGGCACCTCGGTCAACTGGTTGTGGGACAGGTCCAGGTACTCCAGGCGGTGCAGCTTGCTGGGGAAGAGAGGCTGGTATGGAGCTAGACTCAGTCAGGGACCAGAGGATCTCGGGGGCAGTGTTACGGAGTGGTTTGAGAGCTGTAAGCTGGGGATCCAATTCTCAGGTGATGAGTGGAAAGATCTGGGTGAGAGGCCAATTCTGGGTGATCAGGATGGATTCTGGTCTGAGAGTTAGATGTACGGGTGACTACAATAGAGTTTAGCGTCCAGGATGTGTTTGTGGCAGCAGTGGTACCTAATAAGGTGGCAGCACAGGGCAGCTGAAAGCAGGCATGTGCCAAGAGCTGAGCTGAGCCTCATATACAGTAGCTGCTCACAAATGAGGCATGGGATGAGGAGCCACAGAGTATGGACATGGAAGGCTGTGGCCGCCAGACTTGGACTCCTCAGCCCCTACTGTTAGCGTGAGGCTGCACCCCCACCCCACCCTGTCCCAGGCCACACCTGAAGGTGGTTGCATCCAGGCTGCTGTCTGTCAGCTGGTTGTGCTGGAGGTAGAGCTCACGGAGTTGGGTCTGGTGGCTCAGGGCTCCTCGGGGCACTTTGGAGATTAGGTTGTTCTGGGAAGGGAAACGGGAAAGCTCAGATGCCTGGGACAGAAGAGTCTTGAGTAGGAAAGGCACTCGCTTTTGCAAGATCTCTCACGGTGGTTTCTGTGAACCACCCTTGCCAGTTGAGATCCTAAAGGGGTGCAGGGGGGCCCCAGGAATGTGGGGGGGGTAGTGCTGGAGGGGCACCTGCAAGTGAAGCCGCTCCAGTGAGGAAGGCAGGCTGGGTGGCACATAGCTGAGCCGGTTGCTGGAGAGACTGAGGATGGTGATGGCCTGGGAGCCATGGAAGGCATCGAGGGGCAAGCCAGCGTTGCTCAGCTGGTTGTTGTGGAGGTACACAGACCTGAGGGGAGCCAGGCTCAGGCCACTGTCTGCCCCTGGTTTTCCCACTGCCACTGATATCCCAGTTCAGAGCCACCCACCTTAAATGTGAGCATGAGCGAGTGTGTATGTCTGTCTTTACCTCATCTGAAACTCTCTAGACAGAGGAGCAGGCCCTGTCGCATTTCCCCCCAGACTTCCTAACAAGGCAGAGCTCTGGCCCCTGGAATGAGGAGTAAACCCAGTGTGTCTGAGGCCTGGGGGTCCAGGATGGGCCAGAGGCTACCTGAGTGTTGGTTTCTCCCCAAAGGTGAGTGGGAAGATCTCCATGACTTGGTTGGCAGCCAGATCTGCGATGCGGAGGGAGGGGGGCAGAAACTGGGGGGCCACAGAGAGCTGCAGGAGCAGAATGGTGCTGATTTTGATGCTCCCCTCAAGCCCTTGCTGTCCAGCTGGGCTGGAGGTGGGTGGTGGCGTGGGCACTCACCTTGTTGTGGGCAATGTAGATATGCTGCAGCTGGCTGAGGGACTCGAATGCCTCATCAGGCAGCCCTGGGAATGGGATGGGCAATGAGGGAACCCCAGTTCTGATGGGAGAGGGTGGCAGGGTAGCAGTGTTCCCCGCCCAGGGCTCCAGGCAAAGAATTGGAAGAGGTTCCTTCAGGCACCTCTCTCCCCAAGTCCTCAAAAGCCATAGCCAAAAACAATAAGCCACAGCCACATCACCCGAGTTTCCATCTTGCTCAGCAAAGGACAGTTCTGGGAACTGCCATAGAGCCGCCCACAAACCCAGGAAGGTGGGGTTGGAAAGAGGACAGCTGGGTCCATGCAAGGGAGGGACTTGCTCACCCTCAGAGGATATAAGGTTGTTGTGGAGGTTGAGGGTCCGCAGGCTGCTGAGTCGTGACAGTTCATTGTAGGGAAGCTCCTGAAGCTGGTTGTTCTGGAGGCCAAGGAGGTGTTCACACTCCTAACTAACCTCATAACCATTCACCCTCAGCAAGTGACCCTAAGCTCCAATCCTTAACTCCCATCAGCCTAAACAGGTAGCCCTCACCCACACACTTGACCCCCAAATGATTCATCACCCTGACTCCAAGCAACTCCAAAACCACCAAAACCTGGGTGTTCTACTACCCCATCAACACCACAGCTGACCCCACTGCCTCACAACCCAGGCCTCAGGAGGCCCCAAGCCAAGATGTTGACCCAGGACCCTCATGCCCTCGGCCCCTCCCACTTGAGCATATACTCGCTCTCCTCTCCGACAACAGACCCCAACAGTGTCATCGCTCACTCTCCTCTCCGACAACAGACCCCAACTGTGTCATCACGGTCAACTTCCATCAGTATCAGAACCCACACACCCAGTCTCACTCCCTCACAATGGACCCCACGCCTCCAGTTTCAACCCAGTACTTGCATGCTCACCAACCTCCCCAGGCCTCCAGCTCTCACCCCTGGCCCCAGCCCCACCTGAAGGGAGAGGTGTTGAGCCGCCCTAGTGACGTTGTTCGGGAACACCTGCAGGTCCAGGCCAGCACAGTCCACTGTGTCCGCCCGGGGGCAGGAGCAGCGCAGGGGGCAGGCCCTGGGTGGTGGCTGCAAGCTCTCCCCTAGGTGAGGGAAGGCGGAGCTCTCCATGCCCGGGGCAGGTTGGGGACCAGGCAACAGCAGGAGCAGTAGCAGGCTCAGCTGCTGGAAGTGGAGGGTCTAGACACGGGATTACCATGGCAAGGGGAACATCCCAGCACAGGGTGGGGGTAAACCAGGCTTCACCCTCACCCCCCAAACCCCCCCCCCCCACCTTACCATGGCCAGCCCCAGCTCTGCCTTCTTGCCTGAATTGCCAACCCGGACTCCCTAATGGAAACCACGCAGCCACCTCCTGGAGCCTCCGCAGTGCTTGCCACGACCTCCCATCTCAGCACAAGGCACCCTCCCCCAGGCTGATGTCCCTGGGGCTGAGGGCTGGCCCACCCCCTTCCCCCGCCCTACTTGGGCTAGATGAGGCGGTAAGGACAGGCTCGCCTGTCCTCTTGTTTCTTCTCCCCCACCCCCGTTTCCTTCTCCCCTTCCCTCTTCAACCACTCCAGCTCTGTTGCGTAACCTTAGTCAGCCTGGGCTGAGCCACAGGGACAAAGAATGTTTGGGGGAAGCTAAGATTCTTCCTCTCTGGTATTTGGGCAGACCACAGGAGGAGGAGTGGACACAGAGGAATGGAGGACAATTCAGGGCAGAGCAGGCTCCCCAAGGATCTGGGGCTGGTGGGGAGGGGACAGGAGCCCGGAGGGTGGGGGTGGGGTGGGGGTCTCAGTCAAGTCTGCCATCTGGGCCCCTCCTTCCTTCTGCCAGCCAGCTTTACTGGCAGCCAGAGGCCCTACTGCCCAAGTGACCACAGCTGCCTGAAAGGAAATTACACATATTGAGGCACCAAGACTGTTGGTTAAAACTTCATGCTCTTAGTGCCAGCCTAAGCTTGAACTTGAACTCTGCCACTGCTATGGGCCTCAGTTTCCCACTCTGCACAAAGCAGCTAATCCTCCTGGGTATAGTGTAAGGATTAAACGAAAAAATGCATAGGAAGATGTGGATGAGACTGCCTGGCATGCGTCATGCCGCAAGGAAGCCGGTCTCTGCCCAAGGGCCAAACTCCTGAGTCTGCCACTGCCAGCAGGGTAACCTCAGACAAGTCATGTTCTTGCCCAAACAAACCTCAACTCCACACTAACAGATGAGGGAAGACCCTCCCTCTAAGGACTGTTTTGGGGCCAAATGAGGTAGCAGACAGAACGTTCCAAAAATGGCATCTGGCTACATGAAGGGCGCGAAGAAGATTGAGGTCTCCCAGAAGCAGGTATGAGATGAGGATCGAGTGCCTTTTAGTATTTTTTTTGCTCAGAGAAATCAGCTTAAGGGGTAGGGAATGTGACAGGGAATTCCAGACGAACAGTCACCCCTGAGTAATCACTTACCTGCACACAGAATCCTACATCCCAGGAAACCCTTGGTCCTGGGCAACGGGGGATGATCTCGTGTCAACAAGCAGATTCCTGTGAAACTAGGACTCAGTCCCTCTGCTGAGTGCTGGAAGATCACATTGGATACACACGTCAGGGCCATGTGGAGGAAGAGGGGCTGGAGTTTTGACTCCAAGTCTGCTAGCAGGTGCTGCCTTGAGGGGCCTGATTTCTCAGCAGTTTGGGTTGGGAAACTATATTTGACTACATGCAGTCCTAAGGGATATAGGGGTCAGTGGTGAGGCCCTGAGGGAACATGATAGGCCCCAGGTAGCCCCTGTTAGGAAAAGAGAAGGGGAGAACCACTGGAAAATGGCAACGACGTACATAAGGTAGACAGCAAGAAGGGACCAAGGTGTGTGAGAATAATGGAGAGGCAGGATGTCTGTACTGTTAACCTCTCTTCCAGTGGGGGACACTTAGACCTCTTACAGGGCAGAGAGGGGGGCACCAATAAACCCCCAAACCCGCCCGCTCTAAATAGGTTCTGTTATCCACTGCATCGAGACAAAACATATAAGACCTTTATTGGAAAGGAACTCTAATACAATGAGTGTGCAATACAGAAAAGACATAGAATATAGTTTCTAAATCAAACACCCAAAGTTACCCCTCTCTTCATAGGTAAAAGTCCACCCAAAAGGGATTGGCCCAAAGCAAGGCCTGAAAGCCCACCACATGCCTGAAGCACCTTCTGGCAGGGACCCATAGAAAAGGGTCAGAAGGGCCACAAGTCTGGGGTGAAAAGAGCAAAACCAAAATCAAGATAAATGCTGCCATAGTGAACCTCCCCACAGGTCTCTCTCATCTGTTTCACCCAGTCCAGGACCAAAAAACAAGAGCTGCTTCTTCACATGTCTTTCTGCTCCACGTGCCTCCCTCAGGTCTCCTGCCTCTCTATCCTGCTTCCTTCCTTCCTCAGTTTCTTCTCCAGATTCTTTTTTTCCCTGCTCAGCTCCACTCTCTGGGTGAGGCAGGGAAACTGGAACCTCTCCTTTTCATGGCACACCCTGTTACAGACCCAATGACATGTCATTTGCCATGCTTCCCGAATGGATTGTCCCCTAAGCTCCTCAGGAGACAGGGCCAGGAGACAGGTTTTAGCTTCAGAGGAACAATCCACCCCATGAGGGTATGGCAGGCTCTCCATGTGTGATAGATGGCTACTAGGTTGGACACTGGGTGGAAGGGCCTCTGTCTCCCTAGCTGAGTATTGGGCCCAGGGAGCTAGTGAACTACTGAATGGATCCCTGCCCTAGGAGCCAGCAAGAACCATTTGAATTTCTGGCCAGCCTCTTTCAATTGCAAAGGACAGAGAACTTAAACCAAATCAACAAATGCAATCAAGAACATTAATTGTTTCATGAAATGTTGAGGGGATGTCGGGCCCTCCCTGGTGGCGCAGCGGGTTAAAACACTGCACTAAGAAGCTTAAGTCACTTCCACATGAGTTCGATCCCCGCCTGCCCCGGAGGTGACCACATGGTGCGGCAGACCTCTCCTGACCCGCCTGCTGCTCCCCCAGCAGTGTACTTTGATGATCTGCCTGTTCTGCTCCCCACTCCGTCTCTGATGAATCCTCTCACCCTCCGCAACTCTGGCCTGTACCCCAGTTCTGTATGAATAAATAAATCTTTAAAGAAAAAAAGAAAAAAAGAAATGTTGAGGGGATGTGATTTTCAGGCATAGATGAATCCAGGGGCTTAAAGACATACTCAAGTTAGCATCTCAGGTCTACTAGCAGGTACCTCCATCTAGTATCAAAATACTCCCAGCTTTAGATCAGTCATAAGCCCCTAGGTTGAATCTCATCGGCCTAACTTTGGCCATATGTGCCAGCAAAACCATTCTGTGACTAGAAGGTTGGAATATGCTGACTGGCTAAGAACTCTTAGAAATTATCCACTGGCCTTATCTACTGCAATCAGCTCACACTCCTAGACTCCACCTAGCCCCTCCCAGGAAGGACCAGAAAGGAGTTCTGTAGGGGGAGTAATGGAGTATGGTCAATAAACAAGCCTGGCACCGTTGATGTGTAGTATACCTTTGCGGATTGTATCTCTGTATGGGAAGGTTTGCTTAGGGAAGGAGTGTTGGTGTCTTTTAGTACGCCCAATGCTCTGGCCTCAGGGAGACACATAGGGTCAGGGGGACAAGGAACAGTTGTGATAACACTGTGGGTAGTCAGTACAGCAGTCTGGTTTCATGCTGAATGAGAAGAAGGATGTGGAGTTGTTGTGGAAGAAACCAGTGGGCTGGTAGGAAATTAGAAAAAGAAAGGAGGTATCTTAATTCAGTACCAGTTAATGAGCCAAGGCACACCTTGGGCCTCCCCTCCTCATCCTGATGGCAGGTGTCCAATCTACACACAAGCTAAAGCCAAACCCCTCAATCAGCCTCCATCTGTTTGATAAACCATTCAGAACTGGGTCCAACCCACATGATTTTTCATGTTGTATCAGCTGGGCATATGGCTGATTCAAATAAAGAGTTACATGTCAGTCTCCTTTGCAGTTAGGTGAGGCCATCTATCTATAAACAGAAATAAGTGGTATGTACAACTTTAAGGGAAAGGGGGTACCCTTCTATTTTCTTTTTTAAAGATTTATTTATTCATGCATACAAAAACTGAGGTACAGGCTAGAGGTGCAGGGGCAGTGAGAGGATTCACCAGAGACAGAATAGTGAACAGGCAAATTGGTGAAGTACATTGGTGAGGGGAGCAGCTGGTGTGTCAGGAGAGGTCTGCAGCGCCATGTGGGTCAGCTCAGGAGCCTGGGATCAAAGTCACACTGAAGGGGCTTCAGCTTGCTTGCAGTGCTGTGCATTAACCCGTTGCTCCACCAGAGAGGGTCATCCCTTCTATTTTCTACTGTTGGACCATAGCTGTGATGGATGTAGCTTCATGGGCCATTTTGTGCCATGACATTACCTTGGGACTAGAAGCTTTGAATGGAGCAGTAACAAGATAGAAGTGCCCTTGAAGTGGAAAATGTCAAACTGACCTGTTAATTAACTGACAACTGGCATTATGTTGAGACAAAGCCTAAACATGGACTGAAGATTCTAGGGCTTAACTGATAAACTTCTGAAGGCCAACACCCCAGATAACTAACCCTTAAGAATCTCCTGCTTCTGTACTCCCTGCTGGCTTTAAAATGCAGATATACCTCTGGTAAGGCAATAACTACTCTGTTACCTAACTGCTGGGGCTCAGCCTTTGGAGAGAGATCCCCTCTGGGCCCAACACTCCTCTCTGAGTGCCGCCTGGTTCCCTAAAGGAATTCTGCCATTACAGCCTGGGTCTCACACACTAGGCTATGTCCAGTGTTTTGATCACCTCCTGTCAACCAATTGCTGAAGAAGGGGTCATGTGCCCTGCATAGTCCAGGATGGCCAAACACACGACAGCTAACATGAGATTAACATCACGTTATTTATAGCCCAGAAGAGGAGGACACCGCATACTGAACAGATCCACAGCCCGCGGGGATGTGAGGCTCACTTGAAAGCAGAATCAAGAAGCAGAGGCTGGTGAA